GGCAGGGGTTGGACTGGGGGAGCTTTAGAGGACCCTTCCAGCTCCTGATATTCTGTGACTTTGTGATTCGGTGAAACTCTATTAGAGGTAATGCAGAACATAAATTCTTTTTTAAAAAAGAAAATCTCTCCAGAAAACTTAGCAGCCTTGACACAAGCAGCTTGTTAAGAGGCAGTTTTGTTTCAGTACAGCTTGCTTTCATAGCTTAATTTTAATTATTTTTCCAGTTAATCATCACATTTGTCAAGTTTAGACTTAAAAGGTGCCTATCACCTTTGTATCTGAGGAGTAAAGACTGCTGTTGTATTCATAGCTATTGAAATAATGACCGTCTTTATTACTACCCAAGATACTAAGTCAACAATGTGCTTTCTGTTAGCTATCCACACATACTTCAAAATATCACAGCCTTGCTTCTTGTGGTCTCTGGTTTTTAATTGCAGGTCTGATGCCAATGAATGCAATAAAATAGGAGTCCTTAGAAAGCGTCACATTTCCCATCTCCAGAGAAATGTTATTTTCTTTACTTTGTTATTATTTCCCCTGACAGTTACCTCAAAAGCCCGTGACAATGACGTAGTCTTAACTCTTCCCTGCTGTTTGGAGGCATTTCTGACAGCACTGTGTTACCATGGGATCACTGCCCAAAGGAATCCGGAGAGCGATGCAATCTTGAAAACTTTATTCGAGAAAACAAATAAATGCAAAAATCTCCAAAACTCTTCTGGGATGATTATTTTCATGACTTAGTAGGTTAGCGAGTATCTTCAAAAAACGTAATTAGATGCTGTACATTAATTTGTAAGAGCCAATATACCTTCATTAAGGAAGTTTTTAATTAACAGGTATTCACCTCTCAAATCATCCTGGTGGAAGTCTCTGTGAACAGGCACGAAAAGGTGTTCCTGTATCACTGAAACTCCTTTTAGTGTAGGATTAAGGCATGCTAACCAAGAGAGAAAACGGTCAGTATGTGTTTTATCTGGAAAAGGAGGAGCTCCTGCCTCCCTGAAAGTATTAATAAACACTACACATAAATCCATGACCACTGAACACTATGTCCAGATTTCACTATGAGCATGGCAACGCCTGTGAGCCCGTCACAAGAGCACAGATCTTTCAGAGAGAGGCAATCAGCCGTCATTGTCCTCCTGTAAAATCTGGACATCTTCATTCTCCCTCAGTCGACGTCTCTTCATCCTCAGAATCCCTCACTTTCAGATGCAAGGGCTTCATCGACGGATTTCGTACGCCTCTCCCCAGTATAAATCCCATAATGGAGCTGCTCATCCTCTACAGCAGCCCAGGACATCTGCTTGGTGGAGAACCTCGCTGCCCACTCTCCCGAGCTGCTAACAACAATGACACCCCCCAAGCCCCCAACTCGCGTCTTCATGTACTCTAACGCCGTGTCCGCAGCCAGCTCTGGTGCCATTCCTGAAAAGGAGAACAAAATACTTTCAGGGTAATAAGTTTTAAAATCCCCTTCAAGTATCACCGCTCCCCATGGAGCCAGCCAAATCCAATTTCTCCCTCAACTAAATCAGCAAGAACTTTCCAGTGCAGCAAAGGAACTGTTTATAGGAAGGCTCTGGACAGTTGCTAATAGCTGCTAGGGTATGGTGCTGCTACAAAGACAGGATTTAAATAGCTTCAGATTGTAATTCAGTTCCAGTGTTTGATACAGACTAACTCATCAATTCTGTGTGCAAGACACATTTCTTATGCCATCATTTGAAGGTGAAAACGCCAACCTGCAAGCTTTCCACCAAAGGTTTCTCACAAGCTAGGTCCAAAACATTTACAATTCGAAAACAATGAAATTAAACTAATCCAAAATTTCAGTCATCATCTATGTTCCGAGCCCACTGGCCGCAATGGAGCTCAAAGCAAGTACTTCATATTGTTATAATTTATAAAAAGCAGACATCATCAGTGTCACTCTTCCTGGATCTTCTGAACTTACCAGGCAAGATGAGGACTCAATTTATGAGACATCAGAGAAAGGACCAGCGAAGCAACTTGATCTTTTCATTACACCCAATTCCTATTAACAGGAATATTTTCTAGATAAATCCAAGTGAACGTGCGTATCATACACACAGGCCTGGAATAGCTGCAGAATGTTGGTTTGCTGCAGATTTGAGTATCTGTTCAGGAATGCAGTTGGCTCAGCCCGATTGTTCTCAGACAGACACCATCAGTAATGTTATGCAGCTGAGGCTGCAGAACAAAAACTGACCTTCATGCCTCCCCTGCAAATTTTGAGTTAAAACCAAACAAAACCAGCAGAGTCGGAATTATTCACAGCGCTGGTGAGTGACAGGATAAAGCTCCTTTCTCCGACGTTACGGGGGACGCTGTGACTATTCGAGTCAGTGGCACTGACTTCAAAGGGTCAGCATTTCGCTCTTGGATTTTTCATCAAGACAACAGCTGCCGCCATAAGACAAGAGACTCCAACAGCTGTGAAAGCAATTCACTCCCAAAATATGGAAGTGAATTCTGCAGCCGTGGTCCAAAAGAAGGTGTTTACTACGTGAATTACTGAGTAGCTGCACCGAATTATGAGAGAGCTCTGTGGCTGTTCTTACACACGCAGCTCCAGTTGACCATCCAAGGACTCAGAAAGTTTTAACTTGAGGGCTTGTTCTCAGTGCCTGCATGGAAACGTGGTGGTGGGGAGAAGTCTACTGCTGACGTATTTTCCTGGCAGCTGAGTTACACTTCTGGGCAGGATGAATGAAGGCAGAGCAAGCACAGGCAGGGCGAACAAGTGCAAACCGATTCAACGTGCACACACGTGGGCTCATTTTCTGTTTTCAAGATATTTTTAATTTGCCTTTCATACTGGTTTATCACAAGCCAGATAACCGCTATCAACTCACAGGCTTTGCAGTGCGGTTAACTTCGAGCCAGAGAAGAAAGCAGTTTACACAGTTTAGACTAAGTATTGCTTAGAAGGGCATTCACAGATTGAATGGGTAGGGCCATAATACAGAGAATAAGTGGGATCGTAATGTGTTAGAGCTTTGGGAAACAATCTGTGGGTTGTATTTTGTGCCGAAACTATCACATCAGCCAAGGGATTTACAAAGAAATGCACCCATTATCTGCAAACAGCTCTCTAAAGCATAACAGAAATATTCTCAGCTGTTACTTGCCTCTCTACTTACTGCTTCTCCAATGAAAATGTAAATTGAAAGTTTTCCAACTATTTCCAGTTTGGTTGATCTCAAAGCAAGTTACACTGTACTGCCCCAAAGCTTTCTAAAAATAATGCTAAAAATAATCCACATTAACGGTTCTTCAATTGCCTGCAATGCAAGTATGTTGTCTGGCTATGTTTACAGGCTGTAATATAATCAAGGGTTTAGATGACAGAGTAACTCGTGAAGGTAGAGCTCCAAAGGGTCAGCCCACAGCCAGATTACATTACAGTCACATAAGACATACCCTGTCAGCTGTTTACCACATACCCACCCAGTCAGCTTAGGGTATTTTCCAAAACAAAATAAAAATTTAAATCATAGTTAAAACGTTGTAACAAAATAAAAATTTAAATCATAGTTAAAACGTCATAGAAGCATTTCTGTTGCTATAATCAGGGTTGTTAAAATAAAGACCTTTACAGCTTATTAGAAAGGTGATATCCTGTGCTTTCTTATTTCAGCTCTGATCATCCATCTCTGGCCCTCTCCTACTGCTTCCTTAAATATATCTTGTTTTCACTTGTTTTCTATTTCTTTGTTCACAAAATTCTAGTTTAAAATAGAGGGAAAAAATATTAAAGAGAACTTCTCCTTCCCCTCTGCTCTGCCCTGCTCAGACCGCATTTGGAATAGTGTGTTCAGTTCTGGGCCCTCAGGTCAAGGACAGGAACTGCTTGAAAGAGTCCAGCAGGGCCACAAAGATGATGGAGGGAGTGGAGCATCTCCTGATGAGGAGCGGCTGAGGGAGCTGGGGCTCTTTAGCTTGGAGCAGAGGAGACTGAGGGGTGCCCTCATTCCTGGGGATCAATTTGGAAAGGGCGAGTGTCAGGAGGAAGGAGCCAGGCTCTGCTCTGGGATGTCCAATGCCAGGACAAGGGGCAATGGGAGCAAGCTGGAGCACAGGAGGTTCAAGCTGAACATGAGGAAAAACTTCTTTCCTGTGAGGGTGGCAGAGCATGGCCCAGGCTGCCCAGAGAGGTTGTGGAGTCTCCTTCTCTGCAGACATTCAAAACCCCTGGCTGTGTTCCTGTGTGACCTCCTCTGGGTGATCCTGCTCTGGCAGGGGTTGGACTGGGGGAGCTTTTGAGGTCCCTTCCAACTCCTGATAATCTGTGATTCTGTGAACTTCAGTTAAACAAAGCAGACAATAATGTCTTTCAATGTACTTGGATCTAAAACATGATTAAAAATCAAGCAGCATAGATATTTCTGCCCACTTAAGGATATTTTAGCTTTATTCATACTTCAGTACTTTGTTTTGTTTTTAAAAAGAGGTGACCCATCCACATACCCCTGGGAGCAACTCCTCCGACAACTGTTATGGGATGATAGGACATAAACTGAATTTGTCATTAGGCAACGTTTCCTATCCTCATTATTTCAGCTTACAGGAAATTTGGAATATACCTTGCTCCATGTGATAGAGGATCAGGCGAGCTAAGACCACTTTCATAATGCTCTCCCCGTGTCCTGTGGTTGAAGTGGCACCAGAACGGTTATCAGCATAACCTCCACTTCCTTTGTCGAGGGAAAAAAGCACAAACAGGCAATATTCTGTCATACAATTTACAAACACTTCACAGGGATGGGCTAAAATATTTTCCAGAACAGCAAGGGACGGTATACTGAGGACTAAAAAGACAGTGATGGGATGCAGAATGCCAGGTCCCACTACATTTTTTCCCTCCCATCCTTGTTTTCCTGGCACGCTCCACGCCCTGTTCTCCACCAAGCTTCCACCTGCTCAACACCCATGTTTCCAGCACATCTCCTAGGAAAAATATTCCCAGGAGCTGGGGAGGAGCACACCATGGCATTATAAATGAGATACTGGGAGGTGGGGGGGAAAGAGGGAAAAATATTCCCAGGAGCTGGGGAGGAGCAGACCATAGCATTATAAATGAGATACTGGGAGGTGGAGGGGAAAGACGCACAAAAGAGCAATGAAAGTTTCCTCCCTTCTGTACTTCCTTGATCAGCTCAGACCCTTTCGACAGACCCCAGTGGAAAACCACTGCCACAATCAGTCTGTCAACCCTCCCTTTCAAAAGGCTCGAATATTTAAAAGCACAGCAAGCATTGCTGTATCCAGCCCTAAGCAAAAGTTGCAAGCAATACCCTCAACAGCGCCCAGTTTCTCTCTTCCTTCACAGACGTCTCCCATCCTACAGGAGCCCTGAACATGATCTACGTAAGAGCAGGGTATTTGCAGTCAGAAATGAAGCTGAAAAAATCACAGCCAAAATGCAGAGGGTACCAAAATATTTGCAATTTAGGCCGCAAAAGAAAACTAGTATTAGTTCTGTCAGAATCACGTACTGCCAACAGCAGCGCTATGTGAGTTTGGAACACGATTCACTAAAAATAATGATTTTCCAAACCCCAGCTGCACGGTAGAACCCTGAAGCCATCAAATGGCAAATCTGTCCCACGAGAGGAACAAGACTGAGGAAAGGATTTCAAGTATCTCTTTATAGTTGGGTAAGAGATCTCTTAAAATATTTCCTTTATTCCACACCGCGTCTATTAGGCTCTGGAGCAGACTTATCAGGGCTCTCTAAGAACAGGAATACACTCCAAGTTGCCAGTCGGTTTACAGTGCTGGCTCACTGATACAACGAACAGTCATTACAATTACACCTACTTCCTGAAGTATCAAGAAAAAAACATCTTAGCGTAGAACAGACTGCATTTTTTTTGACTTAAGTTTTAAATACAAAAGGAGAGCTTTATCGGAATGAACAGAAAGGAAATAAGAGATTAAAAAAAAAGAGTTATCATTCAGGAAAGGACAGAAAAAACAAAAGCCAATCCCCATTTTCCAGACAGACTAAAATTGTTTGATGATGAAGGCAGCGCCACACCTCTGCTCCTAATTCCTGCTTGCAACCTGCTTGAGTTTTGATACATTTCAATGGTAAAAACTCCATTTCGGATGTACCGGTATTTATGTTTCATGTCACTAATTAAAGGAGAATGTGTGTAATACTTTTTTTTCTTATTTCTTTCACGAGACACCTCCAAAACTGAGAGGCAAGACCCCACATACCTATGCACGCCGTGTCACCAACGCGGCCAATCAGTTTATTCGAGAGGCCTCCAGTGGATGTTGCACAAGCCACGTTTCCTTCGCTGTCTATAGCAACAGCACCGACTGTTCCCAGGTCCCTTGCCAAGAAAAACAAAATTAGGTAGAATTAAAGCATACCTGCCAAAGCACGTCCCTTTTGTTTTTTTCCAGGTAGCTTTCAAAAAAAAAGATTCCTGCAAAAAAAATG